TTGAAATAGCAAATATTCTCTTAAAAATAATGGTTAATGATAATTGTAATTAAATTATTGTCTTATTGTATTGCGTCGTAGTTGGTTTCAGTATCGAATTTGATTTGATTAATTGAAATAATAAATGTTTAATGTGAAGTTTAACAACATATTAAGTAAGTTTAGCAATTATTATAAAATAGCTTAAAACTTGTTTTTAGAACATGCGGGACATTGTAGCTCAGTTCGTAAGAACAACAGTCCATATAAAACAATAAACGTACAACAATATTTCCGCAATTTAATATTTTATGAATGAAAATAGTAAATATTAACATATACGTGCATAAATGTTACTGATTTCTAATCAACTTCAAAAGCAGAAAAAAATAATTAAATTGAGTTCTAACAGGTTTACACGAAAGACTGTTCGTTTAATTGGTAAAAGGAGAGGAGAAACCGTAAAAATGATTTAAGAGTCAAAAGATGGAAATTCTTCAAGTTTTCCTCGGACGATTTGAATACATATTGGAACTCCTCAGTTATTGCAATTTTACTTTTAGATCTTTTTAATGGATATTCGTAGCCGTAATTGACTTTAGATAACACTAACTTCAATAAAACACTTTAACAGTTAAGCCGGGCCAAAGACTTTTAAAGTATATATATCGCGTTTTAAACCGTTAAAGTGTTTTATTTAAATGTGTACTACTCGCGTAAACAACAGACAGTATTTAACACTCACTTCTTTTTGGTTATACCCAAGCCTTATAACTATATAATCAAGATGCGACCTGCTGACCTATTTTAATTTTGAACTTGACGGAATTTCGATTTTGACGAAGAACATGTTAGGCAATTAACTGATTTTATACAAGTTGGAAACGCTGGGGATCGAATCCACGAAAGAAGAATAGAAATGGGAGCCATTCTATTGTTAACTTGACGTTCTGATTGGGAGTACGATCCCCAGTCTTATACATATATACTATTTTTTAAAATTAAGACATCACTAAAATACAGGAATATTCTATTGACCGGCATAAGGTTTACAAGTAAATTATCAGGACAGAGCCCTTAATAAAGGCCTAAGCTTAGGATATCCGAGTCCCACCTGTGGGAACAGTTACAATTAGAATGAGGTCTTCTATGTAGTTCCGAGCCATATTCACATTACGTGCTAAAAACATTTTCGTATCTTCATACGAAATCGAGCCCTATTTACTTCGAGCAATTTACGTTTAATAATACAAAGCTTTAAAACTTACATTGGCAATTCTCCAACAGCACTTACATTGGCGACGTAAGAACATATTTTTTTAGAATACGATTGTTCTAGCTGCTCCCAATTCCAAATATTGTAAAAGAAATAATATTTAATTATATTCCGAACTCTTCTTGTCTTCTTTATGCATGTTAGTATTTTATTAGTAAAACTGTTATTACGTAATTTTATTCTTCCACGTAGATAATTATTTTTTGTATTACGTTTTTTTGATTACTCGGCATGGTTTTAACTTCACTATCTCTATATTAAACTCTATCTTTGGGAAGCTTATTTCACTGGCCATTTTAATTAAACAAAGTAAAAGAAAGAAAACGCCTATAATGATATGAGCCTCTTCTTTCTTTTCAAGAGAATATCGATTATAAAATCGATATTCTTACTTTACAATCAATTCCCAGATTAACCAGACAGGATCAACAGTTTGAGAAAAATTACTCACATTGGACCAACAGTTTCCTCGAGGAAAAAGAAAAGACAGTATGAAAATTAAGGTTTACTACAAATAACACAAATCTTACAGTAAACAAATTTATTGTCAATCGATTTATTTACATTAGACTACATTATAAATTAAGACTTAATACACATTTTTTATACGAATATAAAGTAGATTTGATCCGGCTTTTATATCTTGATGGTCAGTTATTGAAGGATAAGAAGATATATGAGTACTAATCTATTCGTGTATGTAATAGAATAAAATTTTGACGGTTCTAGTTCCTTGAATGACAAAATATTAATAAAAAACCGATTGTAGAGTGAAAAAAGTTTGCGATAAGGACAGGACTCGATCCACAGCGTCCCGTGCTGTTGCTCTATCAAATTGAGCTACCGTGTTCTGCACGTCATGGTCTATTTTTTTCAACCTTTTGATACTTGCACCTCTTGTGCAAATAACAAAATATTATTATAACAATTTATTTAAGATTGAAAAATTCGATGACACCAGTGGGATCGAGCCTGGAGTATAGTCACCAATACTGTGTCTTGCTGTACAGTTTTCAATTTAAATAAGAAAGTCAATTGTTAAAGCTGTCAAAATTTCCATTCTATGTTAGGATAACATAAGCAAATTATAAACTCGATGATAATCCGTGATTAAATAGTAGTTTAGACAGCGATTTCTAAAGCAATAGACCAGTAATCCTATTACGTTAATTAATCTTTGCACGATCTCAAATTTAGGCTGTAACCTTACTGCGATAGGTTATTGTGAAGGTAGAGCAAAATTATGTACTAATTTTTGAGTTCATAAATATGTTTTATCTTAGATCAGAACATGAACTGTAGTACATTCAAATACGTGTCACACATAAGATGCACTGTAAACAGATTCACTTATACAAAGATATAGGTAATTATATTAGGCATACACGATAAAGTATTTTTTACAGATTTATTTAAAACAGACCATTGAAAAAATATAAAATTTCGGTATTATCGTTAGGAATAAAATTCACCAGCACCTGTTCTGTTGGTGGTTGCTACCATTGTACCAAATAACTTATTAAGTGAGTGGGCGGTAATAAAACAATTAAACAATTAGCGCGCGAGCCCATCCATGGCTTCAACATACGCTTAGCTGGCACGTGAAACTAAAGCAAACCTGTCCGTACTCTACCATGTATAAATGTTATAAAAATAATAATAAAACTAGACAACACATCAATAAAAATTACATTACAACTTACGATATTATATACAATTTACGAACGGTAAAAACACTACCATAGATAATAAATACTATTTAGACATAAAAGGATAAAAGGCACTACATATTATTAATATTATTGAAACAATTAAAATCGACTTTTAGTCGTACCAAAAACGACGTCTCTAAGAGGAGGAACACTCAAATAGAAGACTGATTGTCAATTAGTATACAACTAATTGTAAAACGTTTTGCGAACACAATTCTTTGTATTACTGGTCAGTTTTACAGGTAAGTTTAAATCGATCTCGGTGGTTAAACAAAGATTATACTTCGAAATCATTCCCAAAATTCGAAGATAGAACCTTTGCTTGGTAAAGCTTGAACGATTGAGTTACGGAGTACAGCTACGGAGTATATTTATGGTGTATATTTGTATAATATTAAAAAAAACAGCAAACAGTTGCCGAACTTTTGAAAATGTACATTTTGTTTAAAATCAAGAACAGAATTATTATACTATCGAATACAAATTAGTGCTTATTTTGATTACATTATACACAAACAACATCAAATCCTTCAGTGCATATGCAGTAATTATATACAATTACAAACTAACTTTAATTAACTATATTACGTTTAATATTCTATAATAAACACAATTTTATAGCTTAGATTTTATGAAACGTTTAGTACTTAATCCGTACTTAACTCGGGCAAGTAATAACTTTAAACCACCAATATAAAACCTAACATACTCGAAGTAATATAAGAACGCTGTGAAAACTAGCATCTGTGGTATGATTCTTCCCTCGCGGTTTGACACTTGTCGATTTTATGTGTCTTAATTACTAAAGTTATATACGTACTGCATACGTAATTTTGTTTAGTAAGCTATGGTGTCAACAAGACTTACATGTAAATTAAATATCTACTTAGATTTAAAATTGTTGACGATACGCACATATCTTGAACAGGCATCACAGCGTTTCGTGTGGCTGTTTTAAACAATTGAGCTACCGCGTCCTACATCTACGGCTTCATCGAATTTCTTTGACCCATTTGTGATTTTAATCTTAACATTTACTTCTCAAGTAACGTCTGTGTTGTCAAAATTGTATGAATCTAAATAAATTTTTATGTTTTTGGGATGTTTTGTTGACGGTATTGAGTGTCAATATTATTGTAAGTACATTGCAGATATAATTGATCTAAATATAATATTATTTGGTGGCCCCAGAAACTTTCCATTTAATAAAATAAATTCCTTTGCATTTACCAAATTAGTATGCAGTAATATTGTTATCCTTGATATTATTTAGATTGTAAATAAGTCTATCAGTTTCAACAAATATATTATACTTATGTTATTTTAACCACAAAGAATATAATTGTAGTTTGAATTATATGGTAGGTTATGAATAATACGTATATTAATTTAGTACTTTGATATATTTTTACAATTCTAAAATACAATAAATTCTCTTAAATCCTTGGCACATTATATGATTATACTAAAAATTGAAAATATTAATAACATAGTGTAGTGAATGGTTCTAGCAGATTTGTGTGATAAAACTTGATACATATCATCAAATCATGTCTCTTTAATTAATGTTTATTTACTTATAATTACGAACCAAAGTTCCGGATGCTTTCAGGAGTTTCAGGAATTAGGTATTATTTGTTGCGTTTTGAACCGTGTTTTATTTAATATCAAGTAGTTGTTATAACTCGTACGAGAATATAAATTACATAGAAAACGCTATTGAACCATACGATCTTTTAACAACTACTTTATATATTAACTTAAAATGCGTTTGCCACGTTAAAACTTTTATTTATGGCCTATTTGACCGGCGTTTGTAAGAAGCGGTTCTCGATCGCCACCACCAATGGATAACATATCAATGATTTGATTTTTTACAAACAATAAACTTTCTGTATCTTAGAGAGTGCAAGTAGAAAGGAAATATATGATTCTCTTTTTGAAATGGTCCTTCCAAGTTGTACGTACACTTAACACTGTAACAGTCACCCACGTTTTATTGTCTATACGAAAACGGGGCCGTCCCTCTCCACTCACAGAACGTGTAAGTTCTCACAGTTTTTGAACTTCGAGTCTTCTTTGCCGAAGATCCAAGTCAGCATTTGTCTAGCTTTCATACTAGCCCGGACAACGCCTCGGGACTTGTACCAATGGGCGGGCGAGGATTCTCTGCCGCCCTCGGCTGAGAACTGCTGCTTTTTCAATCGTATCTGATTGAGAATGCCGACTAACAACTCGTCTACGTTATGGTTGATGCCGACGGAGACTTCAATGAATTTCGCCTTGTAAGTGCAGGCGAGGCACTTTCCGTCTGCAAACAAAATAATTTTCTATTTTAAATTCACTTTGTATACATTTTCTTAACATAACATAAAAATATGTCCATTCGTATGTCACTAGTATTACATCGAATCACAACATGCGGCATAGAGCTAATATTAATTAAAAACATATTTTAGACTGCGCAAGAGGTATCATAGGACTACAAGTATTAAAGATTTAAAAAAATCGACAATCACAGCGGGACACGGTAGCTCGATTGGCAGACAAGCGCGCTGTGGTCGCGTTAATTCCACTGTTACATTATGATAGCGACAGTCGCTACTACCATGTAGTGTTATGGAATAATTAATTTACAGTAGAAACCAAAAAACCGGAGATATAGCGGCGACAACCGTTGAAAACCCACTACTCTAGATTGGCGCAGCGTGGTGGATCTTGAACCTTTCTACTAACTTCGAGAGAGGAGATGTGTACCAAGCCATGGAACATTATTACAGGTGATAGTTGAAACGAGAATGAAATAAAAATCTAAGCAAAAGTCGCGTCTAAGTAATTTTTCCCGTTGAATAATATCGTTAGGAAAAATATCGCCGCAATAATTTGAGGACAGCTGCCTCCTCGAGGGAAATCAGTTTGCCTCAATAATAAGAGATAATGAATACAAGCTTTATTAACTAGTACAGAATAAACTTATATTTTGTATGAATAAGTGAAAAACCTGTATATTTTTTTACATGGCCTTATATAAAAACTAAAAAAAGATTTTAGCCCTTTAAACCGTTTTTCATCTTGGACTTAGGCAGTTTCCCCGTGACCACGGCTACTGCAAAGCATCCGAAACGTCAAACCGTAGTTAAAATCGATTTTAAATAGAAAAACGCGATTTCAACCGTTATGGGTCTCGCGTAAACTACAGACACGGTTTATATCACTAATTTATGGGTGGTAACGATAACAGTGTGGTGGTTTGAAGCTCGTCTTTCTTCTTTGAGGAGAGTTGTTCCCACAACTGGGATATTAATAGGTCACAACTACTAAACTAACTTACATAGAATATCCGGAAATTAATGTTGTAATAATACACAGTAACAAGTAATAAGTGTAGGCTTGCAGACCTTTACTGAAGAAAGTTTTAATTATTTTAAAATGCATTATTTGAAAATGTGAAATGGAGTAGTATTCGTAGTTTCGCGTGGGTATTTCGCCAGATGTACCCTACGTCTCGTGGGTGCATGTAGTGGAAGAATTGCTCCATAATAAAATGGCAGACTCGAAAGTCTAGTAGCTGCAATTAGGTTGGTTCGATTTTCTAGAGTCTAGTAAGCTTAAGAGAAAGAAGAATATGTCAAATATACTTGACCTTATCTAATAATATAGGTATAAGTATAGTTCAAGTATAAATAGTGGGATCCCGTTTCCCCCTTTGGGGCATGGGGCGATCACGTTTCTGTATCCAATTCACTGTTTTCTTTTTCATTTACAGCAGGTATATTGTTTTATCTCACGCCTAACGCAATGCTAACCAACACGTTTAACCAATTTGCAATAGAGATTCAAGTAAAGTCAACAATTATTAATTCATCTAGGTACACCGAATAACTGTACTAAACACTGTACACTGATAAACGTCGTTAGAGTAAAAAAAATATTAGAAGAAAATTAAAAATCGATTTCAGATTTTCAGTTTCGTATTAACCCTCAATAAGGTTGAAATTGCATTGCGCGAAAGGTGCATTTATCGATAGATTGAAAAAAATCGACGGTAGGACACGGTAGCTCAATTTATTAGACTACACGGAACGCTCTCATAAAAAATCTCAATCTCATCTCAAAAGCGATTTTTAATTTATATCAGGCCATGTGAAAAATATTCACGGTTTTCAAAGGAAAATACTAAATACATTTTCAAAGCTCTCAGAACGAGAAGAACTGGTAACACCTATGCCATATCCAAAGACGGACTAGCTTTGGCGCCAGGAGGTCACATAGGGAAGATCAGGAACCCCCCCCCCTCCTGATCCACCGGTGGCATTATTACCATCAAGTAAACTTCACTACCATTCTTATCCTAAAAAATACCTTGTGTTGACACTGCACGACTCCTGGCCAGGTCAATCTTATTTCCTACTAGCACAGCTGGTCTGGACCTAAGCATGTCGAAGTCCATAAGCCTCGCCAGTTCCTGTTCTGCCTTTTGAAAAGAGGCTTTGTCGACTACTGAATAGATTATAACGAAGGCATCTGGGGGCTCGCACCTGTCGATTTCCTCCTGTGAAAAAAATAGTATAAATAGTAAATACTGTCTATAGTTTACGCGAGTAGTACACATTTAAATAAAACACTTTAACGTTTTAAACGCGATATGTATTAGTTAAACTTATTTGAAAATCATTAAAAATTCCTTAGATTACACATGATTTTCACAGATTAAAAATCATTTTTAAATTAGTTTAACTAATATATCGCGTTTTAAACTGTCTAAAGTGTTTTAGTACACATTCAAGGATAAAACACTTTAAGGTTGTAAAACACGATATATATTGTTAAACTTATTTAAAAAATATTTCCTCCCCCTTATTTGCTTAGCAGTATTTCGCGTGACACTGCCCACAAAGCCTTAAAACTCTTGGCCTGTTTCAACCGAAATTTTAACTATAATACACGAACTTGGTGTTTTATTTAATGTTTACACTCGATATAGACATTATTTAATTTAAAAATCGAAAATAAATTTATGTCCTTATGTGCAAACATGTACAAAAATAATAAAGTTTTCAGACAGTATTTAAGTTAGTGACAGTCCCTCTCCTATTGTAGTATTATTATTGGCCATTACAACCCTTATCAGTGCAGAAATCGGGACACATTAATCATAGATAGCGGGGTGTCCGCCCTCTACCATCGTCGATCAATCATTCGCTTAGTAGCCGACTCAAGTCTAAACAATGTATCGAATCGGCTATACAGTTAAACAATGGATATTACTACTGGAACTACACTATAGCAATATCTTATCCAAATATCCAAAATAGTTAGACAGCACATCTAGTTTAGATGTTATAAGGCCGTGGCCTTTACTATATAAAAAATATGGCGCCTATATACATTCTATTATTGACGTGCTATAGTATATTTATATTATAACGTATTGCTTACTCGGTATAGTGTATAGTCAATTTGATTGCAGACATTGAGATCTTGTGTTCGAAAGATAACACTCGAATACTAGTATAACCGTACTAACGTATGGTATTACTAGTATTTTTTTTAAAATCGAAAAAAATTGAAAACATTTTCGACTCGGGCAGTACTTGAACCGGCATCGTCAGCGTTCCGTGCTGTTGCTCTACCAATTGAGCTACCGAGTCCTACACCTCATCGTCGAATTTTTTTAACTTATTGATACATTCACCTCTCGCTCGATGTAATTGCACGGAACGCTGACGATGCCGGTTCAAGTCCTGCCCGAGTCGAAAATTTATTCAATTTATTTTCGATTTTTAAATTGTATAGTGCCTTCATGTAAAAAAAAAATAATAAAGTTTTCAATAGTATTTTTTTGCTTACCCCTCCGTCAAGTGAACTCTCTTCTTTACTGAAACATTTTTTATTTACAGCAGCTAGTAGATCAGACTCCACAGCACAAGTGAGACTATTCATGTGTGTTTGTGATTCGAACCCAGGTGCGCTACGCAATTTTTTCAAATCGGCGTGTTTAACCATTGGTTTACGGCAGTGAAAATTATATAGAGATTTCATAAAACAGAAACAACTGAAAAATACACATGTTCTTTTCTGAAAAATCCACTTTCTGTTCTTGACTATAGTTAATTCACTTTGAAAATGCTCACTTTGTATTACTAAATGCAATTTATAAAGTAATTTTAACTAAGTTTCTTTGTATAACTGAATTTTTAAGCTGTATTTTATAAGCTGCCTTAGGGTGAGTTAAGCTTTGAATTATATTACTTAGAAATTCATTATACCCATTACTTTTTCTATAAAACTTAAGAAAATGTTTTCTTAGCAAAACGTGCATATGTACGAGGTATTAGGACTTTAGAATTTAAAGTAGCATATTATTTTAGTTTATTAAAACTACTTCAACATGTAAAAATAACGTTGTAAGAATTTAAACATTGAAATACCACACTCTAGCGGTTTAAAATGCGATATATGTTAGTTGAACTTGTTAGGAAATTATTTTACCTACGGCCTCACGTTTCGGATGCTTTGCAGCAGCCTCGGGGACTAAAGATGGAGGGTGTCTCTGACATCAAAGTACTAGCGCTATCTGTTCCTTAGAAGTTGGTAGTATTAGACAAAACTGGCCGGATCTTCGTTGTTTCGTGTGTCTTCGCGTTTGCTGGTATGTTGTTTTTGAATTTCAGAGATTGAGACTGTCCTCCCTATTAATTTTTTTTGTGTTTCTTGCTTCGCGAACGAAACGTCGGGCCGTAATTAAAATAATTTTCAAACAAGTTTAACTAATATATATATCGCGTTTCAAACCGTTCAAGTGGCTCATTTAACTACTTCAACATGAAAACATAACGTTGTAAGAGCTGAAACTAACATTCTATGCCAGGTCACAGATAAATAAAAATAATATTTCACCGAAATGTCATTGAATGATAGTAGTCATTTTCTTTCTTAATCAGTGTTATTAGTTGGTGTGATATGTGATTTTAGTGAACTTAACACATACCAGCGAAATATTACTACTAAATATATTTTCTTTACTCACCCTTGTTGTAGTGCAATTTACAAAGTATAACTCCGATTCTTCCCCATTGAGTAGTATCGATACTTTTTGCTCAGTGCCGTCCGCATCTAGAAAAAAACAAAAACCTTTTTAAGTTTCCAACAAAAAACTATTTGCCTATATTCTATTCTAAATTTATAATCGAGCAACAGCACGGAAAGCTGACGATGCCGGTTCAAGTCCTGCCCGAGCCGAAAATTTTTTTAATTTATTTTCGATTTTTAAATTAAATTCTATTTACATTTTTAAAAGTCAAAATTTTGTATTCTATATTTAAAACATTACGGATTTCGTTTCACTTGTTACTGACAAACGCGATGAATCTTCTATAGCGAGTCAAGACACTTTTTCCAAGTGCAAAGCTAAGAAATGTACCTAATACACAAAATGCTAACATTATTCTTTCTTCTATTACTAATAATCATCATTGTAGTTAAAATATATCAACCAATAGTTCGCGCAGAGGCCTGTATAAAATTCATATCTAAACTAATCTAATAAAGCTGAAGAGTCTGTTTGTTTTTTGTTTGAACACGTTGATCTCAGAAACTACTTGTTCGAATTAACCAATCATTTTGTGTTGGCTGCGACAAATAGGAGCGAAAAAACGGAGACAAATTTTCATCATTAGTGCTTCCGTTTCGTGCGGTGGGTAACCGTTTAACATACCCAAAAAATATTAATAAAAGTTGATGAAAATTAATGTCTACCTTTCAAGATTAAATTGCAAAAACTACGGGACGAGGACGACGTCGTGAGTAACAGCTATCTTTACCTCCTTACTAATATTATAAATGCGAAAGTAACTCTGTCTGTCTGTTACTCTGTCACGCCAAAACTACTGAACGGATTTGAATGAAATTTGGTACACAGGTGGTGTAGACCCTAGGACTAGAAAGAACATAGGCATTTTTTGCGAAAAGGGGGTTGTAAGGGGTTAAGGGGGGGTGAAAGTTTGTATGGAAATTCGTGGTTTTTGAAGATAGAACAATGAAACTTTCTTCTTTGGCTTTTTAGGAATGGAAATGGGAGTGGGAGTGGGAGTGGGAGTGAGAGTGGGAGTTCGAGTAGGAGTGATGTGAGGTGAGAGTGTTGCAGCAATGTAGCACTTACAACATAGATTGGCTGCGGTAAATGCGCCCTTACATAAATTAATAAACAACCTAAATAATTAAAAATTCTACCCCAAATCACTACTCCACGCGGACGAAGTCGCGGGCACAACTAGAACTAGGTAGTACGTAATATGTACTAATTACGTAAACTACAGATGTATGTCCATTCCTAAGGTTATAGTGAGATTCTTTCATACATTTTTTCGGTCTAACGAAATCTTATTTTACAAAGAGTTTTATAACAGAACCATCATGGTTCATCTCAGGATATAAATATCGTGCAGAATGCCCCAGGGCTGTACGTGACGTTTTTATATCGCCTCCCAAACAACCGCACTGCGAGATTTACGACGCCACACTTTTCGTTACTAAGTACACACGAAGAATTTTATTCTGCTCGAAGAATTTGTTCGTAGATTAAATAACACCGGCTTTAAAGCTCAAACGCAAATCGCGTTGTATATTATTAGCGCAGGCAGTTTTACCGGGAAAACAATAGTTTCGGTCAGGCAGGGCACAATAGTTACGTGTAAATAAAATCTTTCAACAATATTAGGTGCCTATTATCTATTTATTTATTTATTCAGACGTGGAACACTTACAGCAATAGGATATTATATACACAACATATTCATTATCAGAAAGCCAATTAAAAGTTTTCACTTTTAGCTTCAGAACTATAAAAATTTACAAAATTTTACAAAATTTCACAAAAATGTTACAAAAAACTATACTAATATATAAAGCTGAATAGTTTGTTTGTTTTTAACGCGCTAATCTCAGAAGCTACTGATTCGAATTGAATACTTATTTTTGTGTTGGTTAGAACATTTATCGAGAAAGGATACAAAAATCGCGCTGCGACTAATAGGATCGAAGAAGCAGCAAAAAATGTAGGAAAAAGGGGGAAAAATATTCATCCTTGCAGGTTTCCGTTGCGTACGAAAACGCTTCAAGATATCAAAAAAATATTTGGAAAAACATGATTTCTCTTTAAATATCTATCTTTTAAGTTAACCTTGTAAAAAGGATGACGTCGCTAATAACGTGGTGGGTGGGACCTTAAATTTATAGAGTTGAATAGGAGCAGGGAAAAAAAGCAAATTAACTTTAACCTAACTTAGCCCAAAATAACTAAATTTCGCAGACGAAGTCACTGTGACACAGCGAGTTACAGTAGAAACTGACATCGGAATCTTATGGACAATTTATTTGCGTTAATTACTGTTTTTTTTTGTTTTTGTTTTAAGAAGATCATACCGCGGCCTAAAAAGTACTGAAAATCAGTGCCCGCAAAAGACAAAAATTCGCCTTTCGTTAAATAACCTTCCAGAGCTAAAATTCACGTTTTAGCTTACATCCTTGAAAGCATAAGAACTTTTCCACCATAAAGTGCTTACTAACTTTAGACTTGCACTAAGCTGGTTCTAGCTGTAAAACTTTTGTACTTGAGTGTACCATTAACTATGTGGTATAACACAATTTAATATGACGTACAATAGGGTACATTAGCTATGCTCAGAACCAAGATATTATTGGATAAATAATGATGTAGATAATTATCGAAACCTTATTATGACAACTCCAACCCCTCCCCCCTCTTCTTAATGTCAACGCAAAGATATTATTTTTGTATGAATTAGAGGAGGATAGAAAAGCAGGGAGGTCACTTGATGGTAGGTAGGGCTGAACCCAGCCTATAGCTATAGACAAATGTTACACCGGTGGGGAACCTACGACGTGCATTGCTTTGCATTAGACCAACGAGCTCATAAGATATTAAAATAATATGACTTAATTTGAATTTAGATGTTATTCATAGGTTATATATCTATAATCCTATATCCTAAATATATATGTAAGTTAATTTTAAGATAGTAAAATGCTTTTAAATAAAACTCTTTAACGGTTTAAAACGCGATATATTAGTTAAACTTATTTGAAAATGATTTTTAACTTCGGCCCGACGTTTCGGATGCTTTGCAGCAGCCGAAAATCATTTTCAAATAAGTTTAACTAATATATCGCGTTTTAAACCGTTAAAGTGTTTTATTTAAATGTGTACTACTCGCGTAAACTATAGACAGTATCTAATAAAATGCTGTCCTCTTTAGAAATGTTATATTAAAGTAATTTTAGTATCTAAAGAAAAACACCTACACAATGTAAACTGTTTGAGTAGTATACGTTACATAGAATATTATTAACCGTTTGAAACGCGAATTAAAGATTGATTTTTAACAGCAATTGGTATTTTTCGTTGCTTTCCTACAATTGAGGGGATACTTTGCTAATAATAATATAAATAATTTAATGAATTATACAGTTAACATTTAAAACCGTTGAATAGTCTCATTAAAATTAATTGATTGATGGACTGTGAAATAGCAAGAATCAAAAGAAACTTTGTCTCCATAATAAGTCTGCGTTAATTTTATTTCACAATTATCATACATTATTATAAACGTCTGCACATACGTGAATATTCATCAAGATCCCTTTGAGGCAGAATCTGCTGAAGTTTCATTTGTCCCTTTAAATTTATTCACACGTGAAATTGAGATATTGAAGTTACAAGCCTTCGTTAGGGTATAATTTTATTTACAATTTGTGTAGCATTTAAAGCAAGCGTTTTCAAGGTAACAGTTTCAAAACGATCGTGAATTTAAAAAACATTATTAATGTGGACATTTTTCAGTTTACTTTTGCAATTTAATTATCTTTTACTATATGTATTGTCCACAGTTAACAAGGGTGGTACGCATTTAATAAAATAGATGGTGCTAGTGTACCAAATGTCTAAAAGTACTCGATCACAACTGTAATATCCATCGGACATATTAGATCGTAGTTAAAATAAATTAACTAATAATTTAACGTTTTAAACAGTTAAAAATGTTCTTTAATTCTTCTTTACTTTATAAATTAGAATTGTATGAAAATTGGATATGTCAGTTTTATTTACTGACTGATAACGATAAAGAAAAACAAAGCACGGTTGTACCTACTAACCAAACTAGGCCATTCCATGACACTACAGTAATTATGAACATTGTTATGTAAGAACCTATAGGCTATTCATATGTGCTTTCCGGTACAGTGTCAAGTACATACGTGAATACATATAACGAAGCGAATATTATACAGTCTGGGGTATTTTGTAGTCAATTTATAATTGGCAGTTTAATTTTGACGTGGGAAATACGAACATAGAATTTCTTAGACAAGGAGGTACATTTTTCGGACGATTTATATTAATTTCTAACTTAATTATGACAAAATATTTACAAAAATATTTTATAACAACCTTGCCTGTACTAATGTTATTTCTAGAGTTACTTCTATTATTAATGTTAACTTTGGTCTTTGGATATTAAAAAAATATTTTTCTATTTTTTCATCTTCGAATTTAATGGGCATATATATGTGTTTATTTTGACTCTTTTTTTCTCCCTGTGCATGTTATATATACTTTATACATAAACAATAATAAATCATGTGTTCCGAATACCAAGTCAATTACACCATTTCACAGAATTTAATTTACAACTCTAAAACCAGGTATTCGTAAGTCCCTAAGACATTTGAGACTATTTTTTTTCTTGAAACTAATTTCAAACAACAAAGAAGCTTGTTATATGTGTCTGAAGCAGCTGATATGGAAAGCTCGCTAAATTGTTTCGAGATTGTACATCACGAGACGTCTTCGTGACCCCACGCAATTTGCATGGTACTTGACAGGTTTCCTATCAACGTGTGATGATGAATGACTCTGACGAGTATTGGGTGTCTCTGACCAGTATGTACCAAACTGTATGCTAGATACAAACACGTAGTTTCAAACAAATTTAACTAAAATATGTCGCGTTTTAAACCGTTAAAGTGTTTTTTTTTATGTGTACTACTCGCGTAAACTATATACAGTATTTAAGAGACACGTAGGTTATGTATGA